GGGCTTCCAAGCTGTTTGTATTCATACCATTCATCCATTGCCTTCTCGGTGATTTGTAGCCAGGACTTCAAGCCTATCATTATTGAAGTTCTGCATGTTTCTGGCTTTCCATATATAATTGTCACAGAAAATTTGCTGTGGCTTCGATATGGCGCAGTCCATCTGCCCTCCTTCTAGCTTCCTGTAAAGCTTCCGACCAATTCCAGAATTTGCACTTGTGTCCATCCCATTTGATTGGAAATGTCCTCCATGCATCCTCTCTTGCTTTACAATGAAACAATAGGTGCTCTAAGGTTTCCACTTCATCTCCACAGCATTTACACCAAATCTCCCCTTTACCTGTTCTGCTGTGAAGTTCTTTGTTAGTAGGCAAGATATTGTGTGGAGACATTTCCATAAGAAGTGCTTCAGCTTCAGTGAGGGGCGGAGGGAAGGGGGGGGGCCAGGGGGGCAACCCCCCCTCCAATTGTTAAAAAAAAAATTTCCAAGTAAAAAAAATATTATTATTATGTTTCCCTCCCCCCAAAAATTGATCAAAAAATTCACTTTGCCCCCCAAGGGCGCAAACAATAATGTCTAAAAGTTATTTGGACTTGGTCTAAATAACAGAGAATTGCCACTATTTTCTTAACAGAGAATAATAGACTTGGTTCAAATAACTTACCTACTATTTTCTGAACTTCACAATTGCCGTTTTGAACCAATTCACCTCTTATTTCCTTCTTATAGAAAAGCCTCAACTTTCGACTCCCAACTTCAATTCCCTTTTCGATCTCCAGTTTTTTTTTTTTTTTTTCATTTCAAAATACAAGCTAATACTCTATGGCAAAGAATTGTAACTCCTCAGTTCTCACCCGAATTTTTTTGCAAAAGTTGAAACACGCGGCTTTGAAACTAGATGTACCAAAAGCTCTAAAATTTCAAACTATTACCATTTACCAGGTTAGTTTGACATTGCATTTATTTAGTGAAATGTGGGTGTAAAAAGTTCGCCCGCCAGTTGTTTGATGAATTGCTCGAGAGGGACTTGTATTGTTTTTCGTACTTGGCCTTCTGAATTCGGGTGATAAGCATTTATTTTAGTTGATTCTGAGATTGGTTTTCTTTTCCAATTTTCATACTAATTTTATTTTGAGGATCATGTTGGCTTTCTTGGGTGATGGCCGGGCTTTTCAGTCAGGCTGAATGGCCAAAATTTGTAAGGGAATTAGGGAAACCAGTCTTTTGCATTGGTCAAATTCCCATCTCTATAGGCCATAACCAACATTTCTCAATCAATTTTATTTAGATTACAGGTTGTTTTGTTGCAAATATAGTGGTAATGGCCAACAGGACAATTGATTCTTTTTTCAAGAAAAGACGTCTAGAACCAAGTGGAAGTGGAGAAACTCCTTGTCCTCTTCGTGATTCTTCTCCTAAGCATCAAACAAAGAAATTTTGTAGAGCTGAATCATTAGAGTTTGATATTTCATCCATAAAACGTGATCCTGGAAAGCGAAAATCCATTTGGGAATATCTAGAGCATCAAAGGGATAAGATACAGAGAGCATATATTAAGTTTGGGCCATACCAACCTGAGCTTCCGATTGAATCAATGGTTGTTGACAAGAAGGGCCGACGTTTCCTTTTCTCTTGGTATAAATTGTTTCCAGATTGGTTGGAATTTTCTCCAACAAAGAATGCTGCCTTTTGTCTTCTTTGCTCACTTTTTCCAAGCCAACGGACTGTTTTGGATCAATGGCCTTCACAACTAGTGAATTTAGATCATGGAAGAAGGTAAATAATGGAAAAAATTGTGCTTTTTTAAATCACATTGGAAAAGATGCTAACTCATCACACAAAGTGGCAATGCAATGCTATCATGTTTTGGGAAACTCATTGCAACATCTTGATGAAATTATTAAGAAGCAAAATTCTGAGCAGGTTGCAAAAAATCGGTTGCAACTTCAAGTTTCCATAGATGCTGCAAAATGGTGTGCATTTCAAGCGGTGGCTTTTAGGGATCATGATGAAAGTTTAGATTCTAACAATCGAGGTAATTTTATTGAGTTGATCAAGCATGTGTCTTCTTATAATGAAAAAGTGGCTGCTGTGGTCCTTGATAATGCTCCTCGAAATGCATCTTATACTTCTCCTACGATCCAAAAGGAGATATTGTCCATTTAGTCGAGCAAGATACAAAAGCATATTCGAGAGGAGATTAGTGATTCAAAATTTTCTATACTTGTTGATGAGGCTCAAGATAGATCAAAAAGAGAGCAAATGGCTATTGTTCTTAGATTTGTGGACAAGCAAGGCTATATTCGAGAGAGTTTTTTGACATTGTTCATGTGCACGAAACCAATTCCTTGACTTTGAAGAAGGAGATATGTGATGTCCTTTCTCGCCATAATCTTAGTGTGCAAAACATTCGTGGCCAAGGAAATGATGGAACAGTAACATGCATGGAGAATGGAATGCACTGCAAGCATTATTTATTCAGGAGTGCCCCTACGCATATTATATTCACTGTTTTGCTCATCGACTGTAATTAACATTGGTAGCAACATCTCAAAAGGTAATTCCTATGGAACAATTCTTTACATACTTGTCTTTTCTTATAAATTTAATTTCATCTTCTTGCAAACGTGTGAACTATCTTAGAGTTGCTAGAACTGCTAGAATCGCTGAATTGATTGCTATTGATGAACTTGAAACTGGTAGGGGTCAGAATCAGATTGGTACCTTAAAACGGCTAGAGACTACAAGATGGGGGTCTCATTTTAGTTCTATTTGTAGCTTATTCACAGAATATGAAAACATTTGCTCTGTCCTAATTGATGTTATCAATTATGGAAATACATCAACTCAAAGAAGTGAAGTTGACAGAGTTTACGATTTCATGACATCCTTTGATTTTGTTCTTGTAATGCATATGATGAGGGACATTTTAGGATTTGCACAAGTACTTTCTCAAGTTTTACAATGCAAATCTCAAGATATTTTAGATGCCCTTAAATTGGTTTCAGTAACAAAGGATCGACTTCAAAGTTACAGAGATAATGGATGGAATGAATTGTTCACCAATGTAAAGACATTTTGTGATGCACGAAATATAGAGATGCCTGATATGAATGTCATTTATAAAGCAGGTCGAGGAAGAATTCAAAAACAAAATGATCCAATTACCATGGAGCATCACTACAGGATTGATGTGTTTTTGGCAATGGTTGATTCTCAAATACTTGAAATGAAGAATAGGTTTAAGGAAGATGTAATAAAGTTGCTTATTTTTAGTTCAGCATTGCACCCCAAAGATAATTTTCAGGCTTTCAATATTGAACAAATTTGTGAACTTGCAAACAAGTTTTATACAGCTGACTTCACAGATCAAGAGAAGTTACACTTAAGAACTCAATTAGAGCTTTTCCAGATTGAATTTTCCTGTAATTCTCAGCTTCAAAATTTGTCATCACTTCAGGAGTTGTGCCAAGTGTTAGCAAAAACAAGAAAGTCAATGTGCTATACTCTTATTGATAGATTGATTCGTTTTATTTTGACTCTTCCTGTTTCAACAACTACAACAGAGCATGCATTTTCTGCTATGAAAATCATCAAAACTTGTTTGCGTTCTAGGATGGAGGAAGACTTTCTTGCTAACTCTATGATAATGTATATTGAGAAAGAAATTCCTAGAACTTTTGATATAAATTCAATCATTGATGACTTTGATAAAATTAAAAGTCATCGTGTACAATTACATATGTCCTATACAGTCAAATAGATTTGTAAATATGATGATATTTTTATATATGTGAAGCTTATAAGTAATTTTCATTCTATATAAAGCTATTTCTAATCTTGCGATATATATGTTCATGAAGAAGCGCAGAGCTTCCCCCGTGGAGGCCAATTGTGTGTTTTTGTCCCAAGTGGTACTAGGACTTCAACCCCAAGACCTTTTATCCAAAGGACCAGGGTTCGAATCCTGGGGAGGCTTTCCTCCAAGCACCACCAGGGAGTCCAGGCTCCCCTGCTCCCCTAGACGGTGCCGAGGTGGACAAATCCACAATTGGCCTCCACGGGGGAAGCTCTGAGCTTCTTAAAAAACGGCCGGCCTTTTTTGAAGAAGCGCAGCGTGGAGAGGGCCTCCCCAGGATTCGAACCCTGGTCCTTGTGTATAAGGGTCTTGGGGTTGAAGTCCTGGTATACTAGCCCAAGTGGTACCAGGACTTCAACCCCAAGACCCTTATACACAAGGATCAGGGTTCGAATCCTGGGGAGGCCCCCTCCACGCACCTGATGCTGGGGCGGACAAAAACACACAATTGGCCTCCACGGAGGAAGCTCTGCGCTTCTTCAGTTCATATTATTATTTTTTTGTAAATATATTTTACTTTCATTGATATAGACTCGCCCCCAAAGTTAATTCCTAGCTCTGCCACTAGCTTCACCTTATGTTTGATGTTCAGGTCCCAAACTCGATGCCAAGGCTTCGATTCCTCTTTCCTGGTTTGGTTTGCATCTTTCTTCAATACTTGTTCCATTGAAATATAAAATTTTCATCTTCCTCCCAAGTTCTTCTCGCAAAATCGCTGCCATTTTCTTTCTGCTTCACTGATGTCATCACCTCCTCTTATAATGGACTTAATCTTGATTTCTTGACTTGCTCAAGCATCAATTAATCATCAAATACTATCATCATTTGTTATTTCTATGCTTGCATTTTTTGCTTTTTGATTGTAGAGTGTAAGACTAATGTTTCTTTTTCCCAAAATTTTGTAGTTGAGGGATGAATAAATAGGTTACGATATCGTTCTTGAATGATAATTATTTGTTATTTAGATTAAGAAAAAATGAAAACCCTGACATTAAAATAATATCAAACACGCTAAAAGGTATTGTATACTTTTTCACGTAATCATTTTATTAGTAAATTTGAGTATACCATTTGCGGTTATTCATAAAATAGATTTATTAGTCTATGTGCAAAGTACTCTATTATTCTGCGTGCTAGCCATCTTCATTAAAGTGCTGTACTTGGGGCGCCATCGTAATTGAAAGTTGAAACTTGCAAACGCAAGTGCAGGTAGAATTTCTCAAAGAAACCCATGTGGCAGATCGTAATTGGCAAACGTGACACAGCAAAAGTCTTGTATTACAATTTAAGTGTGATGCAAAGTTTGGTATAAAAGGAAGCAACTTTGGGCAGCTGCTCGGAAACTTGCTGATGATAAGAATCGAACCGTTGTGGTGTGAGTTGGAAAAGAACATTTCGCCTTTAAGAACACCTCGCAAGGTATAAAGCAGCCCTACAGGGCACACACTAGAGCCAAAAGAGAGAAGTCAAATTCTTTACTTGATTCTTGTGATTTGTGTTTCCGAATTTTCAGTTTCAGTAAAGAAAGCAAGGAAGGAAGATAATGTGATTGTGATGGGCAATATTATGTTCTTCCCAAAATTTATCAAAAAGAGTATCGGTAGTAGTAATAGTAGGGGTGTCTCTGGTTCCATCTCTTCTGCCAACAGTAGCAGCGAGCTTAGACACAGAGGATCAGAACCACCACCAATAATCACAAGAAGAGGACTACCACCACCAGCACCAACTGCTCGTAACCGGCCCTTTTCTTCTTCATCTTCGTCTTTCTCCTCAACTTCTTCTTCCCACCTACCACGGCCCACTTCAGTTAATATTGGTACCAAAGTTTCTATGGACAGTAGTAGTGGCAGTAACAGTAGCACCATTAAAAGCAGCAAGAAGTATGAGTACATCCCAGATAATTTCTCATCTCTTGATCAGGTAATTCTCTATTGTTTCCCCTTTTCATTTCATTTTATGATTCAGAAATATGGATTTAGTTTGCAGGCAAAGTAAAGTTTCAAACCTTCTGGGAGTAGGTACAATAGTAGAAGTCGTGTACGCTTGTTACATAGTATACAAACTATGGTTTGGTTCACTCTTTTTAAGTACTTTTGGTATTGTACAATTGTGCATTATTTTGCAGGCATGTTGCCTAGTAGTTGGCAGGCATGTTGCCTGTTTTTTCATGCTTCATAATAGCACAAGCTATTATCTCTTTACATGATTTGTCTAACTTGCGAGCAGAAATAATGTCAGTGTTGACTTGACTTCCAATGGGTCCTGAGTCAAACGTGTAAGAAAGGTTATCAAGTCACGGGCGATACTATCAGAGAAACCAAAAACAAAAAATTAGCTGTTTGTTTGGATAGAATATTATTCGAAATATTATTTGTAATAATTTTATTTATGATGTGATGTATATGAGATAAAAAAATGATTATAAATATAAAAAGATGGGTTAAAAAATATGTTTATGATACAAACGAAATATTAATTGAAAAAAATTTGATATCCAAACACAGCTGCTGTGAAGTTTCCTCTGGGACTGCTTTAGATGCATTTAGATGAGTAGAATAAAGGCAGAAGATAAGATTACGTGTCATACTTTATTAGATGTCCCGACTTTGTTTCACGTTGATTGGGTGAAGGAGATTGGTGGCTTGGGTGTGGGGGGGGGGGGGGGTGGTAAATTTAGAAATCACGAAAAGGACAGAAGAAGGTGTAGCGTGTTGTCATCGAAGACAATAATGATTTGTGAAGCCCAAGGGACCATGTTAAAGTTGGTAACTTTGTTGTGATGGTTGTCACTGGCTGTACCTAATCATCCCACTTTACTTTGAGGCAGAAATTTCTACTCCAATGTGAATGCTATATCCTGCTTCTGCCATAGGATTTGATTCTTCATTTCCTGGTACAGCATTTGGTTCCTGTTTATGCTCCAAAACCAAGTTCATCACTCTTTAGTCTTCAGTCTTGGTAGTGGGAAATGCAAAATCAAGAGCTAGTGGTGAAAGAAAATGAACAAAAGTTTGACGACGTTAACTTTACCTGGCAAATGGAAGTGGCGTAATATTGCACTAGCAGAAACTATTCCAAAAGATTGTTCTTTTTCTTCTTTTTTTTCCCCCACCAATTTGGCTTTGGGTGGAAGGTATCATGACACCTTATTCACATAAGTTGCTTGATCTCTTTTTGACGAACCAAAAGAATGATCATAAGGATGCTGAATATTTGTTAGTAATTAAATTGGTTGTAGTATTGAATTGTCAATGGGCATATCAATAAAAACTGACTGAACTAATTTAGGAAGGCCCAAATCCTTGATTGCTTGATCAGGAGAGATGTTATTGGACTTTTTCCCCCTTTTTGCTCAGATAAAATCTAAAGCATTTGTTGAGCTTTCCATTATTCCGATTCGTCTTTTGTGTACACCACTTACAATGCGTACTCACAATGTTTCTGATATTAACACTAATCCTAGTTTGTCTTAGTCCAGAGAATGGGGCACTTCCTTTATACTATGAAGTCTAAATTGACAAACCAGTTTTCAACTCTTTCCCCCAGCTTTTGCGGAGTTTGTACTGAAATAGCTGTGTAGTGTGAGAAACATGATCAGGACCTAGGTACATAATCTTGAGGGAGGAGTTTACAGGTTCTCCAGAACGTCTTAGTCCTGTTGTTTGATCAATTAATTAGGATCATTTAGCATATATTTTGAAGTTTTACCATGGAACACTTCAATTTCTGACATATTTCAGTGGAATATGTGATCACTCGTTAATATGTGCAAGAATGTACTTTTGGTTAGTTACTATATAACTTTTTGTATGAACAAAGATTGGAATATTTCTTTGCTTTTACAGGTCACAGAAGCTTTGAGAGAATCAGGTCTAGAGTCATCCAATTTGATTCTCGGGATAGATTTCACTAAAAGCAATGAATGGACAGGTATATGGATCTGCTAAATGAACTCAGCTTGTAGTTGCTGCAAACAACTTCTTTTTTAAGTTATTTTTTCAGATAGATAATTATGAAGTTATGTTATTCCTGCATCAAAATGTTTGTCAAGGACTCTAAGAAAACTTTGCTGAAACACAAGAGGGAGTCAGTTTCTCTGAATTAATGCTCATCCGGAATGCTATGTCTTTTGATCCGTTTTCTAACAATGCAAATAATTAATTACCTTTTCTGATTATATTGTTCACCACTTTCTAGTCCATTGCGCTGCTGTATCAGTAGCTTTGCATGCTTGGAACATGTGTTGCTTCTAAAACTTGACTTCATCAAGATGCTGGTATGGCTTGCCTATTCATATTAAGTACATATCCCCTAACATGACTAAATATATGGGACGGAGGGAGTAGTAAATTATAAGAAGGAATTGGTGGTTACAAGTAATAATTATTTGATTAATATTAAAGAAGAACCATTAATCATACAGTTTGAATAATACTATTTGTTTGATAACTTTATCTTTACTTATTTATTTGTAATTGTTGATTATTTTATTAGTGATGTTATTACTAATGAAGATGTTTGTTGAGTTAATATTAGTAATTACGAGAAATTGTCGAAAAATATAAGTTGACATAAAAATTTTCGTAAGATTAAGAAAAAATGTCGATAGACATTGCATTGGTGATTCAATTTTATTAGGGAGGCAAAATAGTTGAGACTGGAGGATCACTTGCATATGACCCTCCGAGTTGCAAAAAATTCATATTAGTGAAATATCGAATAAGTTATGATGAGTTGGTGGATAAAGCGTACACATACATGCAACTATATCGAAATGTTTTTAAGTTGAATCTATGGTTTAGGAATTCTGTTTATCAAAATACATTTGTTTGTGCAAAAATGATATTGACACGTTATATCAATCGATGTCATCTCACACGGCATGTGAGATATATGTGGAAGTGGAGCCACAAACCCATCATATCCACAATGATCATGATGTCAAACAAACATCATTAGTCCAATTTGGTTTTGAAACTAAGTCAAACATCATGCTTCCTACTCCTATACGTGAAAATAAAAAAATAGTAGTACAATCGGAGTACGAACGAATGTTGCATGATAAACCAAGTCGTAGGGAAGGGTGTATAAATCGAAACGGCGATGATGGTAGAAGTAAATGCATGTTCTGTAATAATAGTTCTTTTGATGAATTTCCTCAAATGAAAATTTTCTCGATGTCCTTCCTATCGAACATATCGGAAAGTGAGGACGTTCATGTTGATCAAGACACAAAACTAGTATCTGATAGCGATGACTAATACAATAGTTATCACAAGTAGGATCAAACCGATGAAGAAGCCGGCAATTTGTTTTTGCAGTCAGGTGCTAGTCCATCAACCTTGTGTCATATACCACCCTATCTGCACGACCATAAAGGAGTCAAAGTCTTACTGAATTTCAACTTCTTTAACAAGGCAGTTTTGGAGAAGCATAATGTGTGGGATGAGCAAACAAAGGAGCTTAGATTGGGAATGGTCTTTGAAACAAAGAACGACGTTCAACGAGCCATCAAGCTTTAGTCGATCAAGTACAACAGGGAGTACATAGTGCAGGAAAATAAACCAACCACCTGGTATGTTCGCTGCAAGTCCCACATTGCCTCTCTACTATATAATTGGCAGCTCAGAGCCGCTTTGAGATACATACATACATTTGTGAAGGAGCACACATATGTGCGAGTTTTGAATACCAATGATCATCGATAGTTGAGTTCGGAACTCATAACAGAGCACATAATACACCACGTTGAGAATAACCCATTTTATGCCATCAAGAAAATACAGACGACTATTAAGCCTTTTGATACAAATGTTTCGTACAAAAAAGTATAGTATACTAAGCGACGTGCGGTTGCTATTGTGTATAGTGATTGACCAACTTTTATAACCGCGCTACCTCTATACATGCAGAAGTTGGTAAAAGCCAATCCAAAAATAGTTGTCGAGTGGGAGTACCATTGGCAAAGCATTGCTAGATGCACAATCTTTTATTACGTGTTTTGGACATTTGGTCCGGTGATCGAGTCATTTCAATACTTTAAACCATTTATTTGTGTTGACGGCATGTGAGGACCCAAAAATTTGAAGGTTATTTTCTTATTTCTTTTCATGTTATATTCTTTGCATTCAATGATTTCGTTCCTTGTTATGTTTTTTCAATTTATTGCATGTTGATTTTTTTATGGGGTGTGTAAAATAAATTTTGTGTGCAAAGGGCCTTGTTGTGGGAAAAGATATTTTTATGCAAAGATATTTTGGTGAAAAGATTTTTTTTTTTGCGTGCAAAGAGGGATAATTGGGTAAACAAGGGGCTAAGTGAGTAAACAAGAGTTATTTGTCCAATGATAAGCCGCCACTTGTCAATCATCTACCCAATTCTTGACCCAACAAGCACCCAAGTTTTATTTCACCACAATTCCTCCTTTTTCCTTCTTTTCTTGTTTGCAGCCAAGAGCTTGAGAGATTCTTGTTCCTTCTTCCTCCTTGCTGCCGAGAGTGAGAGAGAGAGAGAAAGCTTGAAATCCTTGCCACTTCTTCCTTGTCTTGCAGCCGAGAGTAGAGAGAGAGAGAGAGAGTTTGAGAGCTTTTGTTCCTTTTCCCTTTTTGCAACCAAGAGAGTCCAAATCCAGCCTTCCTTTCCTTGTTTTCTTGCTCCCCTTGTTTCCCTTGAGGAGAGCCGAGAAAGAGTGGAGAAAGCTTGAAAAAAAAAAATCTCCTTCTTGAGCTATGTAATTGAGAAACTTGAGAAGCATAAAAAAGTAGCCCTTACCTCCTTCTATCTTTTCCCAACAAATCAAAAAGAGAAAAGCTCCAACATTCCAAGCTTGTTCCAGCCGAGAAATTGAGTGGTGAGTGAGAAGTTTTGTTCCTTTTCTAAGTCTTGAAACTGAGGGGGAAACTTGAGGGGAACTTAAGGGATTTCATCCATGACCAATTTCACAACCAAAGGGAAAGAGATTGAGAAAGATTGGAGAAACTTTGCTCTATCCTTTTTGTTGCAGCTGAGAGAGAGAAGAAAAGAGTGGAGAACTGCCAACCTTGATTCTTCAATTTCCAGCTTCAATTTCTTGAGGAAAAAGAGGTAAAAAGGGTTGTAAATCCTTCCTTCTTCCATGCCTTTTTAAGCTTTAAGGATGTAAGTTGAGTTTGGGCAGAAAAGAGTGAGTTTTGGTAAAGAAAAGTTTCAATTTTCTTGCTGGAAATTCTGCTTAACTGATAACTGCTTTATTGTGGTAGTTGATGACAAAGTTTGTGAAATTTTTGGTGAAATGCTTGGCTGAAACAAGTACGCACCAGAAATAGGTTTTTCTAATTGCTTCATTTTATGTTGGATATATTATATGTTGTATATTTGGTATTTTCAAACAAGTTAAAGCTTGGAACTTCAGATGACAGTCAACTTTGGGCAGTTTTAGTAAAATGATCATAACTTAGTGTAGAAAAATCGAATTTGAGTGCCGTCAATTGCGTTTGAGACTAGACTCAGAGGACTTTCTAATGATATAGAATTTGAGCTGTGGTTCATTTTATGTGAGGACCCACAATTTTTCTTATTTTTATTTTATTTTACAGACTTAATTAATTATTTACCCCCCTGTTTTCTCTGAATAATTCATTTCAACCATTTTAAACTTATTTTCATGGAATAATGTCCCAATTATGTTTTTAAAACGTTTCGTTAGTAAATTTAATTTTTCTACGGCTCGTTTAGTCAGAAATAGCGAATAAACATTTTTTTCAGGTAAATTCGATCCGAGAGTATACTAGTCTTGGATAACTAAGGATGATTAAGAATAGACTAAGAAAAGTTAATTGAGAGATTAGATATAAGTATAAGCTTATACCGCGCACGCGTTGAAAGTTTCCTGAAAGTCGCGCCGGTACAAACCAATTGGAGATTTAGAGAATTAATATATGTGGGGACTCGTGTTTTTACCTCTAAAATAGTTATTTTTATAATTATTTACCTTAGTAGTAGTTAATTATATTATCATTATAAGAATTTCTTTTCAATTTCGCTTTAACACGCACGAATTGGAAGTTCACGTAAATCGAGCCAAAACGGCTAAGTGGAGATTTACAAAACTAATACTAGACTACTAAGGGCGAATAATTATAGTATTAAAAAAATTACATTGGAGGTTTAGTGCACAAGTGAAACAAACGCGAGAAAAATCGGAGACGAAATCCGCGCGCGCAACAACTATTAAGAGTTGACTTTTTGGCCCAACACCTATACCTACTATTTCATTCTTCCAGTCCAAGTTTCAGCACACAAACCTCTCTCATCTCTCTCCTTAGTGCCGGCTGGAACTAGAGAAAAGAAAGGAAAGAAAGCTCTTCATCATCTACTCTATTCTTGCTCCAAATCACCTCCAACTTTGCAACCAACTTCCACTTCACTTGGAAAGCAACTTAAGCTAAGGGAAAAGCATCATCTAATGGTTTTTCTTGGACTTTAGAGGTGTAAAATTTCTGATTTATCTCAAGGAGTGGGAGGTAATCATCCAACCATTTAATCTTGGCTTTAGTGGGTTTAATTGTTGCTATGAAGCTTGTAGCCTCATTATGGTTGTTGTTATTTGGATTTAAATGGTTGGAGTGGGCTCTATGAATTCCCACATTGGATATATGGGCTGAGATGATGATATAATGATTGTTTGATGTTGTTTACATGTTATTTAAAGAGATTATGGATAGAAAATGAAAGAAAAGTTGAAGGAAATTTCCTAGGAAAGCTGATCGAAAATCTGTTCTGTTTTGCTGTGGCTTTAACTCGAATTTTTGTTGCTCAAATGACTTTGAAATTGATTTAGATATGTTGTATATAATGTGTAGAAAGTTTCTACTAAGAATCATTTAATTTGATTGAGTAAAAGTGGAAATTTCGAAATTTTGAAAATCTGGAAAAGTGTGTTCAGATGATCTGGACAGAGAACATTTGAACGAATATATCTCTCTGTACGGAGGTCAAAATTGAGTGCCATCAGCAGCATTCGAAACTAGACATCCGTATTTTTTTAACGGTGTAAAATGCATCTCCTAATTCGAATTGAGTGAACCATAGTAGTTTGCCAAATTTCCCTGTTCTGTTCTGCTGCTCTGTTCGAGTAGCAGTAATAAGTTGAGGCGTGTCTAGGGCTGCAAACGAATCGAATCGCTTGTGAGCGGCTCGAGTCAAGCTCGAGTCGAGCTCGAGCTCAGAATATTAAGCTCGTTAGCTCACGAGCCGGCTCGCGAGCTTGAGTATATATATATATATATATATATTTTTTTTTTTTTATTTTTTTATTTTTATTTAATAATAAAATTACGTATATTATATATATTTTTTTATTTTTTATTTTCATAGTAAAATTACGTATATATTCTTAATATTTTATTATTTATTAAGAAAAAAATATTATTTTATTTATTTTTTTAAAATAAATAATTATTTTTTATTTTTTTCGAGCTCGAGCCGAAAATTGCCGGCTCGTCGAACTCGAGTTCGAGTTCGGTAAAATTTAGTCGAGACTCGACTCGATTAGCATAAAACTCGACTCAGCTCGACTCGTTTGCAGCCCTAGACGTGTCGCTTGAATTCGATCTATTTATGAACTGATTTTCCAAACAATTTCTTCTGATGAAATGTATCCTTTTGAATCTTGTTTCCAACGCCACTGACCATTCTCAATTTCAAGTTGTATTGAGTGAGATATAGCCCAATTCCCAAACTGTACCAAAGCTGGAAAACCCTAATTTTGCTAGCTGAATGGCCTAGCTTGACTTGGGACATGTTGTTTTGAAAATGTTGGTGTCGATCACCTACTAAATGTATATTAGATGTTTCCTGGACCTTAATGTCACAAATGAACCAAATTGGAGCTGATTTCGTTGGACCAAATGTTTGAAAAGGGGAAAAGGAAACAAGAAGACAGATTTGTCTTGGAAATTCCTTGAACTTTGGTAGTTGTGAATTTTCAAATGAAATTTGATATAGGAGTAGTACTCATATGGAAGTTGAATTTACCAATTTTGGTGTCAATCTGAAACCATTTCAATATACAAATGATGTCCCAAATCTAGAAAATGTGCAAACAATTTTCAATTTTTGGTCAATTTCGATCTGCTATATCTTGACGCTTGAAACTCCGATTTTTGTTTCGCTTGTTGTGTTTTAAACCTTGATTGGAATTCTAGTTGAGTTACAAATTTTATGAGCTATTTCACGTTCTGTGAATTTTTTCGAATTTCCAAAATTTGCCGAAAATTAAGACTGAAACTGCCTATAGGTTCGAATCAGCCACTTTGAGCTGAATTTTAAATATCCTCTGTTTTGAATCTTGGAAAATGTCTTCTAATAACTTTTAGTACTTTGGAACTTGTTTCCAACGGTACCAAGTTTTTCAATTTTGGACCTATTGAGTGCAAGATCTGTTTTTCAAAGATTATTCCTTAAAACTGAAATTTTAGAACTTGAAGGGAAATGAGTTTTTAGAAACTCTTCACTACCCTTCGATATTGAATGACTGTTTTAAACTTGACTTCATGGAAAAAATCAGTTTTCTCTTGTGTTATCAAACCCCACTTTTGAGTCTCGATTTACAAGTAATTAAGACTCTCTTTCATGATATATTCTTAGTATTGTATAAGTGTACAACCTTTCTTGTTAACGAGGGGTTTATAAATAATAGTGTGTTATAACCAATTATTATTTGTTCAGGCACTCAAAGGGACTTTCAAGAGGATCTCGAAGCGGACGCCTAAAAGTTTGTTTGAGCATTTATACTCTATTTTGAATTGGTGAGTGTTCCATATAGGAGTACATGATTTGAATAGTTTTACGACATGTTTATTCCATGGTCATTATGTGTTTAACTGTTAAGTGCTACCGATAATTGCTCCTATGAACTTTTCCACCGTTTTAAGGCGAGTGTGTACTTTATCTCACTCGACCTACTAAAATAACAAATTTCTATCGTGAACCGTGAACTACTTACCGTTTACCGATTTATTTGAACTACTTAAGGTTTACCGATTTATTTGATTACTTACCGTTTAC